GGGGTTTTGTGCCCAGCTCCTTCACCTAGAGCAACTTAACGGATGGCACAAAAAGAGTGGGCTGGAGTTGCCGTCTGCATCCCCTGGTGCTGCTCGTGATGCTTACGCTCAGCACGCTTAGTGTGCCTCGGCTTGGACTGCGTTATTGCAGTTGTCACGTTTGAAGGCTAGCAAAGGACATGGCAATTACTTTCCTTGGCTTAGGATTTGCAAAGAATCCTTTATTAAAATGTACAGAGGACCCATTTTCCCAGAGCACAAAAAGTCTTTGCGCTTTCAGACGAAAGAAGACCAGAGATTTTTGTTCTTTTCTTACGCTGTTTGTAAACAAGAAAAAGGCCGTAGCGTTTATTTTTAGATTGAGCAGAATAATCCATCTCAGAGTTAGAAAAGCATGTAAAATCCTCCAGGCAGGTTTGCTTTCCTGCAGGCAGCCACGCACGAGCACCACGGGGCACCTTGTCCGCTGGGCGGTTCGACGTCGGACGCCGAAGTGGCCGGCCTTGCTGCGTATCAGCGCAGGAAGGCAAGAGGAGAAGCTCAGGGAAAGGGTTGCCTCGTCTGCCGAGCCGGGCTCAGGAGCTCCCGTGGGCGCAGTCGGATCTGCTTTGGCTTCGCTTTGATTCGCCCAGAAGCGTTTCGGTGTCGCTCTGCTCCGTCCGGGCGTCCGGCCAGGCAGGGGAGAGCTGGGGTGTTGCTCCTTCCTTGGGCTCTCCCTCCTCCCCGTCAGGGACAACTTTCAGACAGCAACCTAGGACAAAATGGAACCAAATGAATGCCCACGCGTGTAGTTTTTCAGTCTAATTTTATTTTCTCTAGCTCTCAGGCCCCAGTGTTGTGCCTTGTTGGTCCTGCAGCAGGACCTTGTTCTACAGAGACAGTCCAATAGCATTATTTGTTTTTTTAATAAAATCAGCTTTCTGTTTTAGCTTTCTTGCTTTGATTTCCTCTTGCTGCCTCTCTTCTACCTTGTACCTTTTTTTGTGGTGGTTGTCCCTGTTTTTGCTCGAATGCGGCTAGCTCCAGTCTTCGGTGTCAAAACGATGAGGCTTGTGGTAATTGTAACCTCCTGCAAATATTAATTTTAGCCTGGGGCAACCTGCTGAGAAAACGGTCTTCTCTTCTTCCAGGTTTATCCTCCCGCTCCAAGAGTTTCCCAAAGTTGCTCGGGCGGCTCGAGTGGCTGGTGGAGAAACCCGGCTGCCAAGTAGTGTTTGTGTATTTTTGGTTACTGTAGTAATGAAACCTAAGGCACTCTTCTGCATAAGCAAATGGCCTTTAAAGTCCCTAGCATAATTGATGAAGCCAGTCATTAAGGATATATTTAGCTCAGGAGAATATGAGGTTTTAAACAAATCCTATCCAGCAGAGTTTGGACTCGTTGATTCGGGTCAAATGCTGCCTTTTGCCTGCAAGAAATGCCAATGCTTTAATGAGAACTTTAAAAAATTCCCAAACTGGAAGAAATCAGAGGAAAATCTTGCTTTGACTGCCTTCCTACACCTTCCTCTTGCTCCTTTTTTGGGGGTGCAATTTTGCTGCTGGATTCCTTTTTCTCCTTTTTTTCCTTTTTTTTTTTTTTTTATAAACAATTGTTGTTCACAGTGAGAAAATGATACTGATCTAAGTGGCTGCTGCTTGGAGGATCATTGGGAGAACCCGTCTGCCTGCAAAGCAGCCCTTGAGCTGCCACAGTTGGAAAAGCTTTTTATCTTCCTGACCTTTCGAGAAAGCCTTTCTCGTGCGTCAGGAATGCTGGGAATCAGTAAGTGAGCAAAAGGAAGAAATCTCTGTACGTGTGAGGGGAAAAAAATGCACTGTCTGCAGTGAAATAGAAATGTGGATCAGGTGCATAATTCAAGACCACCCGTGCTGACAGCGTTCTCATGATGGTGCCTGTTTAACTGCTTTTCTTCACCGGTGTCTTCATGCACAGGTTTCACGCACGCTCTTCTCCACGCAGCCCAGGAGAGGCGGTAGGAATCGCTGCTTCCACCTTCCCTCAGAGCGCCCTCTCAGACCTGTGGTATTCAGTAGGTAACGGCTGTACATGAAAAGCCTATTTTTCAGTTAACTAGTGGCCTTTCCTGTTGATAGCTGCAGTGGCAAAGTTGGGAATGAAGAAAAACAACACTGTGAAGAAGCCGTGCGGAGCACGGAGTTGGCGTCTCCTGTCTTTGCTGGCTTGTGTTTGGGGACGGATCTGAAACAAAGCCAAGAGCCGTCGCCGCTGCAGTTCATCTGCGCGTGCGGCTCTTCCTCCAGCCTGGAGACAAAACCGGCTGGCAGGGAAGCAGGACGTGCTCTATAGCTTCGTTCACGCAGGGGTTTCACCTGAGCTGAACGATGCCCAGAAAGATGCAGCTTGTTTACAGGCAGGACAGCAGAGGGGCTTGAAAACAGGCTCCGACGGCAGAGGCACGCAGAGAAGCAGTCGCATGGGAGTCACCAAGACAAGAAGGAACGGAAAGAGCTGCAACACCTTCGTGCTTGCCCGAAAGGCAGGGCCGTATCCATCCCGGTTCAAACCTGCAATGTGTGGCCAGCCCCGTCTTGACGAGACCGTTTCCGACAGCGCCCGCCTGAAACTGCTGCCGGGGCCTCCAGGTGAAGCAAGCGGTGGGAAAACCGAGGAGGCAGCTCCCGCCTCCGAGCTCTGCGCGCACAAACTGCGCCTCGGCTCCCGTTGGCACGTGTGGCACTGTCGTTTTCATCCAATACCTTAGAAATCCTAAAGCCTCTTCCACTCTGTCCATGTTAAAAAGGAGCAAAAGGGCTTGTTCCGTTTGGTCTCCATGGCAAAACCGTATCTTTAGGGAGATGCTTGGTGTTATTCCCAGGTCAGGACATTTTGATGGAGAGAAGCAAGCACGATGCTTCTGTAGGAATCACTGGCAAATCTTTCTGGAATATCTTCCTCACCTATGTTTTCTTTTTTAACCAGCAAGATGCCTTCATAGGGATTTCCTCTTGATTGAGGTTGCTAGCAGTGAGGAAAAGAAAGTGGATGAGTTTATGGGAGTCCGAGAGGGAAGATATTCGGTGCAGGTTAAAACTCTTAAGTCTTTTTGGTTTGAACTGTTACATGAAAATTAAGCTGAAACCAAAGACAGTTTTTTGGCAACTTTAACTAGACTTAACAGCACTTGAGGGGTATCACGCTGAGCGTTTTCTTAACCTTGAGAGGGTACCTCTTTGCAAAATATTATTCAGGCTTTATGAGCCAGTTGTGCAACTTGATGACATGGAAAATTCATGTATTGCAAGAAGTATAAGAAGCAGAGATTATGGTTGTGTCTTGCCATTTTAGAAGCATGTTGGATGTTCTTTGGTACATGAGAGAGACTTAAGATGATATTGACAGTATATTATGTCAAAAATACACTACTAGTAGTTTCCTTTCCTTTACCTGAAATGTCTTTACTAGCTTTGCTGTATCCTTATCCTCTTTTCCCCAAACATGTTAAAAACTAACCCGTTCTAAAACATCAGTTATGTGGGTGTAAGGATGCTCCTCATCAAAGAGGTGGTTGGTGTCGTCGTGGCCGCCTGGTTACACCTTTCCCCTTGGTTTTGAGGCTTGCAAGTACAGGAGTCACCTCTTACATTAGCCATGCAAACCTTCCTATGCAAATTCATCAGCAAATTCATCTCTTCCCACATTTAACTTCACACTGGTTGTGCAAGGTAACTTACTGCTCACACAGTAAAGCCCAAAAATCGCTGCTTGTTTTTTTTTTTTTTTTTTTTCTCCTCGAATAGTTTTCCATCCTTGTAAGCAAGTTCCTTCCCAAGTTCCACGCGTTGTTTTAACCTCCCCAGGGCTCGCGGGTTGTCGTCGGCGCGGGAGCGGTGCCGGAGGAGAGCCGGGTGCCGCTCCGCGCGCCGGGCGCGAGGGCAGTTTCGCTCCCCAGGAGCCGCGCTGGGACTTGAGCAAAAGCAGGTGCTTTTTTGCAACACCCGCGCGGACCCTGAAGGGAAGGCAGGAGTGAAGTGCCGCAGCAGTTGGCAGGGGAATGCTGGCATTAAAACCAAAGCAAGCCGAAAGGGGAAAACCAGCGCTTCTGCGTATGCCCCGGCCTCCTGGAGACGAGCGAGGGGGAAACGGTGTGTTCGGAGGAGCCGGAGCCAAGCTCGCCCGGGGCGCCGTGGCCTGGCCGGAGGCTGCGTTAAAAAAGTCAAGGAAAACAGCAGTTTTGGCCACAGGTTTATCTTGGAGTGAGTGAGGTCAGAAGCAAATGCGGGTGCCTAATTTTCCAGGGAAAAGGCCCGGGATGCCGCGGCCACCCAGTCCCCCAGCATGAATAACAGGCACCATATGGGAAGCAGATGAGGGACCGCTGCTTTGTGCCGCGCTGGACAGAGGGGATTCTGCCAGGAGCTGCTAAGTGGTTCTGCTGCTGTATTAAAAGCAGATTTCTGTGTTGGCACAAGCTGCAGTATCTGCTCTCTGTTACGCAAGCAGCAAATATTGGTGTTGCTTTTCCTGCGGACCATCCCCAGAGCTCACTGTGCTCCAGGAGCTGGGGTTCGTGATGCCTCCACTGCACAGCACCCCGACCTTTCCTTCTCTTATCTCTTTAGCTGTGCTTCCTTTTTTGCCAAGCATATGCTCGTGGGTAGAAACAAAAAGGTGGGTCATGAGAGGGGTAAAATCTCATCCGTTGGATGAGTGTTGTTTGATGAACTCTGTTTTCTTTTCTTCCATGATTTCTTCAAGACATGGTTTGTAGAGAAACTTCTTTCTCACGTTTTGTAGACCACCTCTTCTCCTAAACATCTGAAAACACCAACAGTGTAGAAATGCGTTACTAATACAGCTGTTTTGATGTGTGTGTGTGTGTGTTTTTTTTTAAGTTCTTATTAGAGGTCTTTGATTAGTTGACTTCCACAAAATGCACAGAACCCCTGGGGAGCGAATGTTCAATGAGTTCACCCTTGCGTCCCGTCAAGGGGTAAAAGAACCCAAACTCACGCTGCTTCTCTCCTTTCTGTTGCAGCAAACCTTCCCCAGTGATGTACACTGTGTTGAAGAAATCTTGAAGGTAGGTGTCCTTCCGGAACAGCAGGGCTCTTCTGCGTTGCCGTGCATTAAAACAGCATTTGCGTCGGGGGGAAATTCAAGCTCTGCTTCTGCTCCGAGCAGCGACGCTGCTGGGTCTGTGGGTATGTGGAGGCAGTGCGGGAAAGACAACGGAGCATTGCAGGAGCAGCTGGAGCTGGGAGGCCCATCTTTCCAGCGCATAGGAGTATCTGGGAAGCCCAGGAGCAAGAGTGACAAGCCAGCTGGGGCAGGAGAAGCAGCTGGAGTCGCTCCATAGTCAAGTCAGGGCTTTGCCATTTTTGAATGCAATGTTTGGGCTTCCTCCAGAGAGGCTGGACGCACTGAGCCGTCCGCGCTGCCAGGCCCCTGAAGGTGCCCGTGAGGAGCTGCATAGGCCCTGTAAATCTTCTGCTTGTATTCCCAGTTCCTTCCCTTAACTGATAGGGAAACTGGAGCCGCTTCGGAGGTTTTCCTAATTTGGCCCTGATGGCAAAAAGAGCACTGGTAAATTCTGGCCCAGTAGAGATTCTCACGCTTTGGTGTAGTGGCTGCAAAAGCTCCAGAAAGAGCCTTTGGCACCGGCAGGCTCTCGCTTAGGCCCCCCAGGCCCTCTCCCCAGCCGGGCAGCGCAGCTCGCTGCGAGCTCTGCTCAACGTCCGTGGAATTCCTGAGCTGGCAACGTCAGCAAAAAGCTCTCCCTGCTGTTTACTTGACACGGTCCCTTTTCTCGGGAAGCTGGCAGGGAGCCGCTCGGAGGGCGGGCGCACGCGCTCGGAATGGCGGCGAGCAGGGTTCTCCTGAGAAGGACGTAAAGGCTGCAGGACCTGTGATTTTTAAATCTGGGCAGCAAGAGCCAAGAAAAATCTACCTAGTGTGATTTTTACCAAGGTTCTCCCAACTTCCTTGGGAAAGCCCAGCGTCCCCAGGAGCCATGTCTCGATTAACCCTCCTTCAAGTATTTGAGCATATGTTCAAGCCCAAGATCCTTGTCTGTGTTGGACTTGGCAAACGCTTTCGGAAGAGGCCAGAAGAGGCAGGTTGGAAGGTGGTCTCCCTTGCTGAGCTCTGTTTCGTGACTCCACTCTGCTTTCAGCCCAGGAAGTTGATACCTGGGTGAAAGTCAGGGAGGGAGATAAGGCAGAAGGATTTCGTAAAATAAAATAATTTGTCAAGTGGTCTCCTGGGCTCGAAGCTACGTGCTGGAGCTGTGTCAAAGTCTCTGCTGGTGACGGGAAAATCCTTGAAACTAGCCAGTATTTTAGGTAGAATAATAGAGGGAATGGCACGTGGTCAGAGCTCTCTGGCTGACCTCCTCGAGTTATGAAAGGCCTTTCAGAAGGTTATTACTGTAATGGGATATAAGAACTTCCATAACAGGAAAGTCCTGTGCTTTGAAAAACCCAAGAGCTACTCACATATGGGCTCTATTTACTTCTCTCTGTTATTAGCCATGATAGCTATAATTCTGAGGCCTAATCCTGCAAACCCTTCAAATAGATCCTCAAGCTTTGTACAAGCTTCCTTCGGATTTTTGTTGCTTGGGTGATGCCAAGATGCCTGCAGATTTGGGGCCAGTCCATCTGTGCTGCCACTGCTGCGCTCGGAGCAAAGCTTTTCATGGCAGTTCATCTGCTGTGTTCGTTGCTGGGCCTGCAAGGTGTTTAGTATATTCATAGTAGCCCTTTTAAGTGTAAAACTTCACCTGCACGTATCAGTAATATACTCCGTTTTTTCCCCCAAATTCTTTCCAGGAAATGACCCACTCATGGCCACCTCCTTTGACAGCTATTCATACACCGAGCACAGCAGAGCCCTCAAAATTTCCATTTCCGTCAAAGGTAAAATAGCCTCTTTGGGGCAAACCTTTTAAAGACATTAGAGAGAGCTTTTCCAACGTACTTTCAGCTCCCCTCTACTTCTTTCATAAGGCAGAGGCAGTTAGGAGAGATTGTCTTTAGAAGTGGTCAGATAAATGAAAGCACGGTGGGTTTCAAGTTGTATAACTGCCGTTCCAGGCCCATTTTTTTGACTGAGAAATTAGATCAAAGTGTACTTCTGAGTAGTTATTTCTTCATTATGCTGTGTGATAGTGTAATTATTATTTACCTCTTTTATTTTGTAAGTGGAGTTTAGATTTTTAGAGTTGTAACATACTTGAGGCAGAGTTTATCTACGTACATGTTAGAACTGTGGGCGCCGAATTTAACTGCCTTTCAAAAACTTTTTAAGAAACTTTAAGAAACCTCCCTTTGCAGCATCCAAAATGTTTGATCTTTTTATCTTTCTTGTCAACATGAGCATCTGCCAAATGTGTCAAACAGGGATGTTTGGTAGCTCCTTTAAAAAATTTCATATCTTTTCAAAAGTAATTATGCCACTGATATGCTAGCAGCATCATTTGTATCCACGCTAGATTATGTCAGGCCATCTTCTGTTCTGATGTCTCGAAGTGACACTTTGACAAGGTAGATGTTTATTACGATTATTAACACATGGCAAACAAATCGTAATTGTGCAACTCTTAACAGGTTTCTTTTATTCTCAATTTTCACTTTGTCCTTTCCTTTGTTTCTTTTTTTTTTTTTTCCTGTGTTTAGGATTCCCAGCATGTTGGATCTGTAGCACAGAATCAGAGTAAGTAGAAATCCAAAGAAAACTCGGTGTTATGTGAAAGAGTTTTGTGAGTGCGTTGTATGTTGGGGGGG